GCGCCGGTCATCCCGCCGGCGGTGGCGAGGCCTCTGGGCAGAGCCGAACGGGCTGTGCCCGTCACTGCCAGATGTTCGACGAGAGGGGAGACGGGGCTTCTCAGCGCGCGTCTTCCACTAACGTCAGGTGGGTTGGGTTTTCCTTTTCTTCTTCCACCCGATGCTACGCTGGAAAATCCTATGCTTTTTTCGCGCTCCCGCGTCGCCGAAGCACCTGAGCGCAGCTGCTTGAGAGGAGTTGCAGCCCGCGGCTGGCTGAGCAGCTCGTCCTGGGGCTCGGACAAAGCATGGGCGGGAAACTGCCCCTTTCGTGAATCGATGTTTACGTGCAATTCCTAAATACCACAGCAAAGTGGCTTTTTTTTTTTAAAGACAGCGAACAAGAAAGACTGCGTAATACAACGTTCAAGCGTTGCTCCGTTGGGTTACACGGAGCTGTGTTTCGAGAGGTCTCCTGCGGTTTCCACACCCTGTTGGAAATCCGAAATCTTGCATGGGAATTGCTTGGATCCTAAAAGCAGCCGTGGGAGCTCAGGAGTGAACTGGGGCGTCTCAAAGCCCCACGATCGGGTTCCCCCGCTGTCTCGCCAGACTGCAGCCGGGATTTTTTGGTCGTCCTTTGCTTGATTCTCTTTCTTAAGAGAAAGAGCGCAGGTAGCCTGGGGCGATACCGTGTTATGTACAGCCCGCGGGGTCGGGGATCCGGCCGGACTTGCTCGGCGCTTTCCCCCTCCCCGCGCTGTTTCGGCGGAGCTGGCGGTTTGCCCCGGGTCGGGGGGGGGGGCTCTCCCGCGGCTGCTTTTCGCCTGGCAGTTACAGTTTTCATGTTAAGCCGTACCAGCCTCGACAGCACATCCCTTCACGCTGCCTGCTCTCCGTTAATGCTAACTTCTGCGCAAACCCACATAAAATATGGGACTCCTGCTAGCGGTTCCAGGCAGCGTTGTCGGAAATGTATTCATAGCCTGTCTCTGGGGAAGGTGGTATTTTATGGCGAGGCAGCAGAGCGCTGCAGTGTGAAATACGGCTCGCTGAGCATCTTCCAAGACGCACACGAACTTGTTTATAACAGGTTCAGGATGCTGCAGGCCATGCTTTAAAGGAGACCTGTTCCCTTTGCCTCTTGGCCAAATCGAAAGCCCCTCCATTAAAGGGCTTTGGGGGAACGCAGGCTTCGCTCTTGGACTGAGAATTTTATTCTTGTGTTTTGGTTTAATTAGTTACCTGTAATTACCAGAGTGAGTTAAGGCCCCTCGAATGCAGCTAGAGCTGGCAGACCCGACGGCCTGCTGCCGGCGAGGCGAGGGGCTGAGAAAGCCAGTGCAGAGATGCAGCAACTGTGCAAAGCAAAGACCACCGGGTGCCTCTGCAGGCTGCGACTCTTGCTGCTTGTTGCATCCTGCCCCGTGGTTTGACCCGAGGAGTCGGCATCCCTGGACCCGCGATGGGCTCAGCACAGGAGCTGGGCTGAGGCAGCGCGCGGTAAATCCTGCTCCATCCGAGCCCGCTCTTACAGGCTGCACGCGGCGACGCGCTTTGCAGTCGGCTCAGTCCTGTCCTTGCGGCAGGTTGTTTCCCGCGAGGGGACCCGAAGGCGGCCGCTCGGCTGTGCCGCGGGGACCCAGGGAGCTCCAGGCTTTGTTTAGCTCCCTGTATTTCAGTATTTTGAGTAGGTTTTCTTAGCCTGCTTGTGGATTTGAATTTGCTTGAGGGTCCTGCAGATCCTCTTGATCCCATCTCCCTGTTACAGGGGCCCGTTAACCCTGCAGCGGGCTTATTTTGAAGGCGAGCGAGCGCTTTTGTCTGAAGCGCCTCTTTGGGCTGCCTCCCCGGCGGGATGCCGCGGGGCGGCCGAGCGCCTCTTGGGCCGCCCGCCCCGGCGGGATGCGGCGGGGCGGCCGAGCGGCTTTCTGCTCCGGCTCTCCTTTCCCTCTGGCTCCCGGGGGCCCGAGAAGCTCTGCCGCGGGGAGAAACCCTCCGGTCGCGCTCGGGGAGGCGCCCAGGGCTGCGCGCGGCCGCCTAGGGCGCCTGTAGGCAAACGCACCAAAAACCCGCGTTGGCGCGCCGTTTCTTGGCTTGCAGCAGGCTTTAGGAAGAGCGCACCGTTGTGACGGCCGGATCCGGGAGCGTTCGTTTCCTTTCTGCTCAAACGCTCTAAACCCTCAATTACGTTTTCTGCAGCTCCCCAGAGCTACCGCTCTGATGGGACTTGTGTTTTCCCATTTTTCATTAGAGCCGTTGACATAAAAGACCTGCATGTCAACCCCACCTACACGCTGAGGCTGACTCTAATTTTGCCTCCTAAGAGGAAGTTCACCAAAACCTCCCAGAGCGCGAGAGAAACCGGAGCTCTTGTCCTTTCAGCATTGCCCACGTGTAGCTGAGTGATTTCTGACGCAGGCTGCAAATGCATCGCCTGGATTTCTTAGTCATGCAGGCTGCTTGCTACTTACGCGCTTTCACTGCTCTTAGCTGTAATTTCCAAACCTTTGGACAATAGAAATGCGTTGCTTTGAGGAATAATCCAGGGAAGATTTAACTTTAGACTCTGGATGAACCTGCTGGACGCGGTTTCCGGGACCGTTGCCGGTTTGGAAGGGGGGTTGCCTTGCTTGGCCAGACGAAGCCAGTGAACACTATAAATAGTACGTGATTTTCAACTGCATTGCAAGAAGCAAAGAAGCTCTTGGCAGGTGCAGGCGGATGACCGGGTAGCTTTTTTTGAAAGTGGCTTTTAGAGCCTGGACTCTCTTCCCTGCCGTGCCCCGCTTTACCCTGGGCTGAGCCTTTACCGCTCTCTGCAAACAAAACAGCGGCTCGCAGTCGCATGCAGCCCTTCGTGCAGCAGGCACCGGGCGTCCTGGCCTGCCAGGAGCGCTCTGCTTTTATTCTACTCTGTGAATAACCTTTTTTCTAATCCCAAATGAGACTTTTGCTTTTATGCTTTGCCACTAAAAGTGAAGTTTTTATGCTCCTCTGTGGAGCGTTGAAAGGTCTACTTAGCTGAAATTGTCTTTATTTGCTATTTAATAATAATAGTTTTTAAAAAAAAACACGTCTCTGCAGTGCTAGAGGAAAAGGCATTTTTTTCATTGCAATCAGCAGTTTCTGTCTTAGAATTACCACCCCCGGGGCTGTCCGAAGCCAGGACTGTAAGGGGCAAACAGTGCAAGCCAGCAGCTGTGCAGATCCTGCTAGCTCCTGGCACGCTGCAGAGTAAGATGCTCAACAAGCAAAACATGAACTGTGGCCCTCTGCAGCATACTCAGCCTAGGTGCTCCACCTCCAAAACCAATGCAAGAGCTGGGAGCAGGTTCCTGCACCCCTTAGTGGGCTGTGGGGGATTGCATTGCTGGGATGTCTATTCAGAGGTGTATTTGCAGAGTTTGACCTGAGCTCCTCTAGGTCTGTGCAACAGTCATTCATCATTCATAAAGCAACACCTTGGGGAGGCACAGCCAGGAAATGGTTACCATTAGAAAGACAGAGACACGCTAGCTGCAGGATGTCGTGTTACCACTGCTTCTTATTCTTATACACGAGTGGGCTAGGGCAGGACGCTTGCATCCCTGCACATCTGGCCTCTTGGATGTCCTTGCCTGCAGCCTGCAAGGCAGCAGCAAGTGCCACCTCCGTCTGCCGTCACGGCTGATGTGAGCTCAGGAAACGTGCATCATCTTTGTTTACGTGTTTCGCAAGCAAAAGTAGAGCCGAACAGATGCGGTGTTATCCAATACATACAGCAACTAAAGCCTGTCTCTTCTTATTTCAGAATGTAACCAAAACAGTGGAAGAAGAAAAACCTGAGCCTCCAACCATTCAGGAGATTAAGCAGAAAATTGAAAAGTACAATGCAAAGGTTACAAACTGCCTGTTGATGAAGCTGGTACGTACCATTTTTCTTCTTGCATAATATGCAGACAGACTGATGCTAATTTCTCTGGGCTATGAGCTGAGTCAGCTTGTATAAAGTTAGTCTCTAAGGCAAGAGGACTTTGGGCTCTAGGGCTGCTGCTGCCATCCGTACCTGACCAGCTTTGTCTCCTGCTCTGTCCTGCTTGGGTTTTGCAGGACCTTCCGCATGAGGTAACTGTTCTCTGCTGCTGTCCTCCTTCAATTGGGAAAATTCACCCAGTAATCTGTGGCCAGCATGTGCTGCAAACGGCTTGCCACAAATAGCTCCGGCTGCATTGCTGTAGCTTGGATGAGTCATAGTAAATCTCAACCTGCAACGCTAGTTTCAGCAGCTGTCGCAAAGTGTTTTAGAACCACGAGGCCTTTCTAGAAACAGACCTCTCCTTAAACAAGCCTGGCAGCAGCGGCCGTGACGAACAGCATCTAAGAACCACAGTAGATTCCTTCTGTTTCGAAGCTTTGATTGCAGACTTGCTCATCAGCACCTCTAAGTGAAGCCTTGATGATATGTGTTGAGAAGAAAAGGAAATCACCTGCTTTACTAATTGGAGTGGCAGAAAGGTGCAAATTTCACAGGCTCTTACAGAGCGGGGCGGAAAGCTTTTCAAGAGAGTGAAATAATTTTTAGAACTTCTAAAGAGCAGCAGCTATGTAACTTCCTAGTGCTTGATAACATCTGAAATAAACCTAAAGTTATATAAAACAGTAAATCTTACTTAAAACAAATTTCTTTTTTGAGGGCTATACAGTAAGTGCTGCTGGAGTGTCTCAGCCCTTTGATTTTTATGAGCTGTTTACTTAGGAGTGATTTGGACCTGGTGTTTATTCTTGAGTTACTTTTCTTTAAACTTAGCAAAAATATCATCTGGGGCCTGGAGAGCCATTCATATGCCCCTAGCGTCAGCCCTTGCATCCAACTGCAGTCCCGTACTTCAGGCATCTGAGATGGGTTGTTCAGTTTATTATTGTCTGACACCCACAACATATCTGCATATAGCCAGGCTTCTCCTTTGATTTTTGCAGAGCTGAGGATAGGGTAAGGGAACTATCGTGAGACAAGCTGATCTTGAATGATGGTTTATTACTTGGAGATGTGAGAATCTCATAATCTGGGAATAAAACTTTAGAAATACAGTCCAGAGCTGCAGCTGAACGCTAGGGGTAGAGGCCCACACAGTTTTCAAATCTGCATTTAAGTGCAACTGCCAATTTTATATATAATGTTTTTCATAACTAACTTGTAGCAAGATCAATTTTAAATAAGGCAAGATAGTACAGATGCTAGCAAGAGATGAGTCATTAGGGAGTAGTAAGGCACAGGAGAAAAATCAGTAGTGACTAACCTAAATTACTAGTTAGTTCTTACATGATTAATGAGAAACCCTCAGACTCCTAGCAGTACACTAAGTACAGCGGAAAGTTCTTCTGCAGTCATCCCACAGGCTGAAGCGCTGCGTTAGTAGATCAGAAGGCCCCTTGTGTGAGGGGTCCCAGGCCACGAGCGCTCGCTGGAACGTGACTCTAATCTCCTTTGCTTTAGAACGATGATGGAACTTACACAGGCTTCATTAAAGTGCATTTGAAATTGCGCCGTCCCGTGACGGTACCAGCTGGGATCCGGCCCCAGTCCATTTATGATGCCCTCAAAGAGGTGAACCTGGCTGACATGACAGACAAGAGAACTTCCTTCTACTTGCCGCTAGATGCCATCAAGCAGCTCCATATTAGCAGTACAACCACGGTGAGCGAGGTGATCCAGGGGCTCCTGAAGAAATTCATGGTGGTGGATAATCCTCAGAAGTTTGCACTTTTCAAGGAGATGCGGAAAGATGGGCAAGGTGAGTTCATACCCTTACAGCAGCAAAACAGAGATGTGAACATAGAATTGTTTTCCTTGGACCTGTCAGCTTTCCTACAGCTGATAGTTTTGCTTACTATTTTGTGTTACAGAAACACTAAATTCCCTTAATTAAGCCCTTTTAAGCTAGATGTTGTACTGTCCTCTCCTGCTCCCCGAAGGCCATTGATTAAACAGAATTATATACAAATGGTGGTAGAAGTAGACTTTTGTTCTCCATCTGTGAAACTGGATTTAGAAAAATTAGGTGTGCTACCCATGCTGGTGCAGAGTGTTTGAGACGGAGAGAAAAGCACAGGATATCCAGTGTTTCAAAGCAGTGCTGTAAGAGTCATCTGCCTGTATTTTTCCTCACAGCAGACTTTTGGTTTTGCTAAAGTGAACTTCAAGCATGTTCTTCACTGAGGATCAGGCTGGCAGACTCTCTCATGAAAAGTGTGGTATCAAAGCATTCGGTCTAGGACTCTCAGTGGTGTGTCAGACAGTCAGGGTCTAAACTTCAGATGAACAAATGGCCTGACCTCCACAAAAGGTGATACCACTCCCACATGTTCTGAAGTTAATGAGGAATTACGAGTTTTCAAGACAGGGCCGAAGCCCTGTTAATCGACTTAGGACCTAAAATACAGATTGTTCTGGATCTCTGATAGATATTCACTCCTTCCATCACGATCCTAAGTGGTATGAATCTGTGGTACATGTTCAAGTTAACTTCCTGAGCTTTCTTCTGCCCTGGCACCCATGGCTCACTGTGGATGTCTTCCTGCCCCTTTGCAGTTCTCTTCCAGAAGCTCCCTCTAACCGAGTATCCCTTGTATCTCCGGCTGCTGGCTGGCCCTGACACAGATGTTCTCAGTTTTGTGCTGAAGGAAAATGAAACAGGGGAAGTTGAGGTATGTCTGTGACTCTTTGCCTTGGCTTTTACGTGAATGTTAACAGCTTTACCGAAACACATGGCAACGTTAAACGGATCTGTGAGATTTATGGCACAAGCAGCACAGGCTGACATGGTGGAACACGAGCAAGTTCTCCCCCTCTGGTAGCACCCTCTGGTGCTGGTTTTACCATCTAAAATACTGAGTTTGATACTAGCTTTTCTCTAAAGTTAAATTTTTATCAACTGAATGGACTACTTGGACCTTACTTTTTGAGAAGTGTTTGGACCGTTTATTTCTCATCAATTATGTTGATTTTTAAGGAATTAAACTTGAGCCGTGAAAATGCTGAGGCTGCTTTTGATGGCCAAACCACAATCTGTTTACGGAACCAAGCAACACAGTCCCAAAGTTAATCCTCAATAATTAGATTAGCTAAATACTGCTAGGACTAATCCACTAACTTAAATAGAAGCCAGGGACGTTCAGGTAATAAACTCACAATCAGCTTTTAGTTGCAGTGATGCTCCACATCATGACGAATGCAGATGTCAGTAACTGCAGTAGCCCACGGAAATCCACCCTCTGAACGGCGGAGAGCGTCTAGCTCAGAGCCGTGCGGGGCATGCGCCACGCAGCTGAAGTCAGATTGTGGTTAGTAAAGGTGCTACAGGAACGCTAACTCTTCCGCTGCAGTTCTGAAGAGACGCAAAAGCAGTGTTTACTAGGTGATCTAAATCATCAGCTTGTGGTCGGCACGTTCTGCTTTGTGTCACCCCCGGCAATGCTGCGTTTGAGGTGAACAGCTTGTCTCCGGGCGCCCTACGCAAGGAGCTTTAGTGCAGCACCATCAGGATAACTTTGCAATAAAGCAAGAGGAGAACTGGCTCCTGCTAGTTAGTGTTGCCTGCTGGGACCTCACTCCCTCTTTGTAGCAAGAAGTGCAGGTGAATGCTAGGTCAGTTATGTGCATATATATTTCAATCGCTTTAGGGAAGTGGGCTATCATCTTAAGTGGAAGCTTTGATCCACCTGAGTAAATAAGATTTCTATTAGGACAACAGTCTCAGGGGCTCAGTACTGGGAAGGTCCTGTATGTTGTAGCCCATTACCCTGGCTCTCTCACAACATTGACACCTTGAGATTAAGCTACCTGGAGGTCAGATACATGTTTAATTGTCTTCTATTGCCCCTCTTCACAGAGTCAGGAAAAAACAAGTAACAAAGTAAAATGGTGTGTGCTTACTTTCCCTCTCTTTTTGCTGTTTCTGCAGTGGGACGCATTCTCCATCCCAGAGCTACAGAACTTCTTAATGATACTGGACAAAGAAGAAAAGGACAAAATCCAGCAAGTGCAAAGGAAGTATGAGAAGTTTAAACAAAGACTGCAACAGACCTTGAAAGAAGCAGGAGGCAAGCCTGGATAATTGTTCAGGAGGCCCAGAGAATCAGACTAAGCTAGATCTTATTTTTAAAAAGAAAAGACACTTCTCAGGACACCTTTTAGTGGCCACTCACTGTCCCTCTTCATCCTTCCATTATGGACTGGCACATACAACCATAAAATGAACATACTGCATTTTCTTCTTCTGAAACCTCTTCTCACAGAGCCAGTCAAAGAATGGGAAGCCCATTTGTGGGCCCTCAACAAACCAAACACAGCTGCTGGTTAACTTTTTGGTTTTACATTGAACCAGCAGATGAAGAAACATCATGGAAAATGCTGAATGTTAAACCCAATAGGAACATCTGCTGGCTAATTGTTTTGAGCAGGGTCAACCTACTGTTCGCACTCCTCCCAGCAACTTGCTTTTCTTGTTCCAGAGGTGCTGCAGCTGCATTGTGTGTCGATGTGGCAGAGCTCTCATTTCGTTAAGTAGAGCACAGGAAGCAGATAAAGTGGAAGAGGTTGCTGCACCGAATCGTGTGGGTGTTGCAGCTGTAACTGATGCCAAACAGACTGTTGTTCAGTGCTAAGTTAACCAATGAAACGTAAAGTCATGATGCCAAAGCAGCTGCAACACCACAATGGTCTTTTAGTATATATTATTGAAATTTAGTAAAGGAAAAGTCAGCTATTTTCATCCTAATTAACTTTTAATTAAAAAAAAAAGCTTCAAAGTCAAATTAAAGCAAATATTCCTGATGCTTAGCTTAGCTAGCCTGTATTTTACCAGTTTTCTACTCTGTAGGAATTGCGACCAGTATTTTAAAAAATTCTGTTTGACAAGCGTAAAGATGATGGTTGGGGCATGGGACAATGGTTTGGTGTAGCATGGTTAGCAATACATATCTAAGACCAATCCAGGAAAGCTCAAAAACCCTTTTTTACAAATCAAATCGATATTGTGCTACGAACAGGTTGGGGATTGAGGGAGAAGAGCTCCCACTGAGGCCAGGGTGTGGATGTGTGGGTGTTTCCTGCACAGACTGCCCGCGCAGGAAATGCTTAGCACCAGGAAGAGGGAGGGAACTATTAGCCTCAGATGCTTTCCTCCCACCGCAATCTTATACCATGTTTCCTCTTGGTACCTCCCCTCGTTGTGGTGCTCTCCCACCATTCCTGTTATTAGCTCGCCTCTGCCTGTGCCACACTGCATGTGTCCTGTTCGATCAGTACTCTTTCTGCATGTACAGGAAGGTTACCAGATTGTGCTTTGTGCTTGGAGCTAGGGCAGGAGAATAAGAAGCCACCCTCCCTCGCACAGTGCTCCCACTGTTGCTAGACACATGCACCTCTCAGCCTTCACAGAGATTGTCTGGCTGGAGCTGGAGTGTTGCTCACTGCCCTAGCTGCCGCCGGAGACCCCGAGCTCAGTGCCTCCACGCTGTCACCGCTGGAGAGCAAGGGATGCTCCAGGGATGCCAAGCTGAGATGATTTCCCCAGGTTTACTCATAGTGCTTTGTACTGAGTACACTGCACACAGCCAGTTTCAGTCTTCCCTCTGTTTACACAAGACACAGCAACAACACATAACAGGAAAATGGAAAGTTAAAACTAGGCACATTCAGATGGAGCCTGTGAAATGGTTTTATATTGACTTAGTGAACCAAGCGTCCCTTTGAACTTGCTATAGACACTGCCGTGATTTCACCTGGGTGAAGAGGGGAGGGAGCAGGTTACTAGGCAAGACAGACAACTTGGAAGAGTCTAAAATTTACCTCAGTGCCTTTTTCTTTTTTCCCTCAAGTGTGAAAATTTTACATTTGGGCTAAGGAGGAAGTTGGAAGGGGCTTTTGTCAAGAGGCCTTGTCAGCCCATGCCTGTTCCCAATATCTAAAGTACTGTTGTGATGAGGCTGCTTTTGTCCATAGAGGGAAGAGGAACTGTTTGCTTCTTTCTTCAAGGTGACTGTTGAGATTTTTCCCCCCCCCCGAATTTTTTGAAAATTTTACATTTGGGCTAAGGAGGAAGTTGGAAGGGGCTTTTGTCAAGAGGCCTTGTCAGCCCATGCCTGTTCCCAATATCTAAAGTACTGTTGTGATGAGGCTGCTTTTGTCCATAGAGGGAAGAGGAACTGTTTGCTTCTTTCTTCAAGGTGACTGTTGAGATTTTTTTCCCCCCCCCCAGATTTATACTTGAGTATGTTTGTTATGTTTGTTTATAAACCATAAGAGAGCAACTGCATCACTTCAAGCCCCTCAGTTTGTATAAATGCCACTCGTGCAAGCTCAGTTCCAGCTCACGTTTTAGTCAGTTAGTGCAGAAAGGTTTGCTAACAGGGCTACGGCCTCTGGCGTGCTGTGCGGGAAGGGCCTCCCAGCTTCCCAGCTGTACTGTAGTCTCTACCCAGATGATCTTTAACAATGTGGCAGCAGCCCAAACAGAGCAGCAATTTTTCATGCTCTGGGGCTCTGTTTGCCCAACACTTATTACTTCACTGTGCACTTATGAAGTAATTTAAGTAACATTTATCTAGTGGTTTGAGTCTTGAAAGCACTGTATAAATACTTCTGCTCAGTTAAGAGGAAGAACATTGCAAAAAACTGCCATTGGTTCCGAGAAGCAAGATCCTGAAGCTTGTTTTTTTAAACCCCTTAGTTTTTCTGGCTAAAAGTTGTAAAGCTTTTTCTTGTTGTTGTTGCTTTCTAATAGAATTTTGGTGACTGTCTCCCTCTCCCTTTCTAGAACCCAGCATGTCTTAGACAGTTGGTAGAAGGCATGGCTTCTTACGCAATTATTGTGAATGCTGCTGAAAACCTCCTGCAAAGAGGAGGGCTGTTTCTTTTGGTTTTTGTTTTGTTTTGTTTTGTTTTTCAAGATATGGGGCATTTGAAGAATAGGTAGACCTTAAAACTCAAATTCTCAACAGTCAGTTGACCTGTGCCTAGGCACAAGTCTAGGATAGGAGTGTCAGCCCTTTCCTTAAGCGCAAAATACTGTTGGCAGTGCCTTTGGTTAGTACAGTGTGTTGCCTAGTTCATGTGAATTTATTTTCTCATGTCTATTGTAAAACATGTAAAATAATGTGTATAGAATGGAATAGCAAAGCTTCTATGGCAAAGTGAAATGCATTTTTGCAATGCTGTAATTTATTTTTATTACTCCCTAGTAATTCTATGGCATTTTTAAAAAAATGTCTCAATTCCAGCTTTTTTGAAAGTTCTGAAATTACTTGTTCATATGCAGACAGTGTAAAAGACAAAGATAATAAAACTGTCAGTAATTAAAGAACTCTCTTCTAGCTTATTTATCTGGCGCCCTCCTGTGGTACGTCCATGTATTAAGCCTACATACAGAACTCTATCCTAGGATAAACGTGAATTCAAGCTTCTTAACCCTACAGTAGTGTTTAACGTTTAAGCTTCAACTAAAGCAGTAAAGAACATATATCCCTGTGAAACAAGACTCAAGTGTTCCATCAATCTAATTTGCAGCCAAACTTATGTCTTGGTATTTTAGATGGATTTGACAGAGCTACTGTCCATGTCTACCTATGATAAAATACAGTTAATGTATACATGCAAAAAAAGTATATAGAAAAATAATATAAAATCTATAAAATTACAGCTAATGTAGAGTTAATTCTTAGTGTTTACTGAAATGTGTGGTATTAATACCTATTTAAATGTTTCAAAGGTTAAAATCTAAAAGCAAGTGTTTTTTACTTCTGACTGATACAGTCTGGTACAACATACTGGAATGTTTTAAGATAATGCTAGGAATGTACTTTGCTTATGTTTTGGTTGTTTGAGGTTATATTGCCATATTTTTGTCAAAAGAAGCAAAGCAAGAATGTTAAAATAGACAGAAGCCACTCTAGACAGGAAACTGGTACACCACTGGGAACTTCTAGAAAATATCTGGAAAAGGATAATGCTATTTTTTTTCCAGCTTTTTATTTTTATGAAAAAATGGGCAGCTACAGCAATATTATTATTTGGGTGAATTCCAGACATTACAAAAATCCATGACTCATCTTTGAATGAATGGGGCCTGTATATTATCCTTGATTTGTAGGCAGAACACTTTTATAAATAATGAGATCTGAATAATTCTTACACTAGATTTTTCTCCTACTTCTTCCGGCCAAGCTTTGGAGCCTTCTCAAGGCCTTGAATATATTTCCGAGGTAGCTGGTATTCTTCTGCAATATAACCAAGAATTAATTTCAGGTCAGTATTTAGAGCTCGAGAATTAACATTTGTATCTTGCTATAACCGGTCCAGGCCTGGCTCCAGAAGAGACTTACCTAGCAGCATCTTGGCTAGATGGTGGACTTGGTTGCCTTGGATCTGGACCTGAACTCTATCTTTTGTTCCTGGTACTGGGGTGATCGTGGCACTGGCCTGTACTCTCTGTTGCAGGATGTTGGCAACACATTGTGGGTCTAGACCATAGAGCTCAAGGTTCTTGATAATTGTCACCTGCAGGTTTTAATAATTATTAAAAAACGTCACCGCTGTATGTATTAGTAAATCAACTGTACTGCTCAACTCAGAAAAACAAGCGGCTAAAGCTGCTCTCATAAGCCAGGCTTCTGCTCAAAACCTGTCATTTTAATTCTGTTTTCACCTTCTTATTTGACGATCTGTGTGCTATGGTTATGCTGATGGGCTCAATGTTTCCTTTCCTCACAATAGGTTCTTGTCCAACAAATGTCACCTGGTGTAAGGGCTGCAGTCGTTCAAGGCACCTGAACAAAGTTTATACATCCAGTTAGTCTATCTTGTACAGCAAGACTGATGTTGCCTTCTTTCACTTTTCTCACAGGTTTTTGAGATTATGTAAAAGCCAAGATTCTAATGGTGTGTGAGAAGAATCTAGCTCTTAAGAAGATAATGCATGATGACCTCATGCAACACTTGCATCCTAGACATTATTTAAAGGAAGGGACTGATTAAAAAGAAGGCTAGCCTACTGACTGGAAAAATTCTAGCTGAGATCGTTACTGATAAAATATTAAGTTTAGTTCTTGTAGATGAAAACTGTCTTTAGCTGAGTTAAACTATTGTTCAGAGACTGCGGAAGCAACTTCAGTTTAAAATTCAGCATAAACTATGCTACTCTCCCATGAACATACTCGGTTTCAGAAAGAAAGGAAGCTGCTGGAAATGTTCAGAAGCATTGCGTGATCAAGAAAGTCAAGGCAAGTAAAAAATTTGAGCCATTTAGGCAAAGTTTTTCAGCATTTGAAAACAACGGTGTGTCAGATATTAGTACCTCTTTGAACTAAAAGGTGATTTTAGGCTAAAAAGGTGGAAGTTATGCTGCCGCTTGCAATCAGGTTATGGTGAAAGCAAAACTGGGGTCCTTGATGGCCTTGTGAATCTCAGTTACCTTGGGCTATACTGTGAAAGAGGACAGATATATGTCAAGTGTAAAATCCCTTAGACCAAAAAAAACTTGAATATAAAAGAAAAGAAAAGAAAAGATTACTACTGCCTAAAAGGGGGATATTCAGCTATCTGCTGCAAAGGATGGATTTATAAATATGTACCAACAGATTACATACAGAACCAGACACTGTTTATTTAGTAGGTTTTCCCTAGTAAATGCTTAGCAGGTAAACAAAAAAATGACAGTTAATACTATATGTTTGTTAAATGGTAAATAATGAGGAATAGTAACTTCAGTATTCATACTGAATACCAATAAAAGTGAAGGTATTTTTATGTTATCAGCAGGAAGTTACAACTCAGGTAGCTCTGATAATGTGGGGCTTTGAGTTACATGCAGTAAATCTATGTAATATTAAAACAGTACATTGGAAAAGTCACCTGCTCAGGAGGTCATCCCATTTAAGGTTTGTGATTTCATCTTGTTCTGATTTATCTAACAGGCAGTCGCACAAAATGGCATTCACCTTTACAAAGCTACAACAGAAAAACACAAGCATTAGGCACAAACAAGTTCATGTTTTGCTCTACCATCGTCATCTCCTTTGGAAGCTGGGTAGGACAACTTTCACATCTACTTACTTCTTGTTTGTTTCATCAACCAACTCGTTAGTCTTCACATAGTTAACGATTATGTTTCTCACCTCGCTGCTTGACAGGATGCTGCCTTTTCTAGATGAGAAAGAGAACTTTATTACTTACTATATTAAGAAGGTAGATGTTGGGTGGAATCACTAAGCAGACAGAAGATTGCCCCAACTATGTTCAGTAGCAACAGCTCAATATTGAAATAAATCTGCTAGGAAGTGATTTCTTGTTCCACTTCAGCTGCTGTACGCCAGATAAAAGGGCCATAGCAGTAATGAAATGGATTCTAAAACCCTTGGCTCCAGGAGCCTAGCTTGGCTTGATGACCCTAATAGCACATGATAAAGCCAGGGCACTGTGGATAACTTTTGCAGAAGTACTACTCATTTGAAGAAAGGCTGCCAATAACTGCTATTTAAATTACATCAAAACAGCCAAGATCTGGAAACAGTGAGGCAAATGAATTCTTTAAATCATAAAGGCATTCTCTTCCCAAGTTTGATTATTTAGTAACCTATACTGTGGGTGGGCAGAACCTGCGTAATCCAACAGCAAATTGAGACAATCCAAGTAAGTAAATGTAGCAATTTTGATACTTGCACTATCACCTCCTTAGCTGTGGGAGGAGTGATGTGAATACCTGCTGAATGCAGTTGTCACAGCCTCTAACCTTTCTTCACTTTATGAAGCAATGAATATATTCTTGATTGCTATTTCCAATCCCGATAGCATTACAGGGCTATTTCCCTGAAGACTAACAAAAAGCTGCCCAATTTTGAAATGTAGCAGCAGCATAGGTCTGGTAGCCTAACAATGGTTTTTATCTTACTTTTCAAGTGCTCACCTGTGTCCAGATTCCTGGAAGAGTGGGATCATTTTTGTTGAGACCCCATAAAGTGGTATGATTTCAGGAGCGTGGTACAACTGTTCTCTGTCTTCACT